GAAGAGGAGTTCATGGACAGAATTCGCTGACACACGCGACTGGAAGTGTATCCGCCGATGATTGAGAAGGTGGCCGTCCGTCCCGTAGGCAACGCGGATTGCGGGGCGTTCATCACGGTAGGCGCCCATTAGCATGGCAGAAAACATGAGATTGAAGAGGGTAGGCTCGAGGACACAACCCTGTTTCACTGCGTTGGTCACTGCAAATGCCCTTGATACGACTCCATTGTCCGTGGCGCGCGCCGTCATGTCATCGTGGAGCTGACGCACCATCTGAATGAATCGTTCGGGATGGTCGAATTTCTGCATGATTTTCCACAATCCTTCACGATCCATGGTATTGAAGGCTTTCGTAAAAGTCCGCTAAGGTAGAGTAAAGATGGGTCCGCCGCAGCTCCTGACGCTTCTCCAGCAGTTGGCGGGTGCAGAAGATCATGTCTGTGGTCCTACGATGACGGCGGAAGTCGCACTGACTTTTCGGCTGGAGACCCTGTTCTAGGTTGCCGTTCAGACGGTTGAGAAGAATGCAAGCAAAGATTTTTCCGGTGATGTTAAGCAAGGAGGTGTCTCGGTGGTTGTCGCAGAGCTGACGACTACCTTCTTGATTATGGAGATGGACAATTGTGACATCCTTGAAATTCTGTGGGGCTTCTTTTTGACGTCACATCTCCTGAAAGAGCACTATCAGATGATCCATACGTTAGAGGCCACCGTGCTTGCATACCTTAGCAGGGATCGTGTCCGATTCGGACGCTTTCCCGTTAGAGAGCTGTTGCACGGCCCTGATGGTTTCGTGGAGAGGGGGCGGGAGGTCGAGGTCGGCGTTGGTCTCCATTTGAGGCAGACAGGCGATGGCGACGTCGGAGATGGTGTAAGGACGGTTGAGGACGCCTCTGAAGTGTTCGGCCTATCGCTGTAGAATTTGTGTCTTCTCGGTGAGTAGGGTACTGCCGTCGACGCTGAGAAGAGGAGCGGTGCTTTTGGCTGTGGAACCGTAGACAGCCGTGATCGCGGCGAAGAAATTCTTCCATTCGTTGCGGCACGCGTATCCTTCGATCTCTTCAGCTTTGCGAGCTGTCCAAACGTCCTGCTTCTCTTGCAGTCGCTGTTGCACAAAGCAGTGACCACGGTAGGAGGCTGCTTTGTTGTTGTTGGTAAGGCGATTGACGTGGGCTTTGTGCAGGCTGTTCTTCTCCGCGAGTAGGTTGCAGATGGCGGTGTCGTTTTCATCAAACCGGTCCTGATGTTGGCGGTGTGCGCGACCGAGGACAGCCAGGACGGTCGACTGGATTGTGTCCCGCAGTTGACACCACCGGTTCTCCACGGAGGCGTTCTCGTCGGCGACAGCGCGGCGGCGACGGCGGCGGCGGCAACTTGACAGTTCATTACTGAAACGGAGATGGTGAGCAGGCGACGACAACAGAGCAATATTCAGCTTACCTGAGGATCGCTTACCTTGAGGTCTCCGGCGTGTCTATAGGCGAATCCGATGATCCGTCCACCCGTCGGCACCCGGGACTACCTTTGTCACCAGTACGTCCGCTGATCTCGCCTTCGAACGAGGACATAGTCCAACAGGTCCCAGTGCCGCGACCGGGTGTGCATCCAGGTGTCCTTTTCTTGCGTCGGAGAACGGAAGTAGACGTTGGTCAGCATGAGGTGGTGTTCTGCGCAGGTTCGTGGTGTTCTGCGCAGGTTCGTATAATGAGTAGGCCGTTGTCATTGGAGCCGTCGAGACCATAGGGACCTAGCATTCCTCTCCGGGCAGCATAGTTTGTGCCGATGCGGGCATTGAAGTCACCAAGGACAATCAATTTATCCGCCTTTGGCACGGTCGCGAGGAGGGCGTGTAGAATTTGTTCCTTGTAGCGTCATTTTTTGTCATCTGGGAGCGTAGACGTTGACGATGGTGGAGAATTTTCCTCTCCGGAGAGGCAGGCGGTAGCTCTACGGGCGGTCGTTGATGCCCTATGGCAGACAAAGTAGTCGACCCACGATGTCGTTCCGGATGACAAAGGTGACCCACGCATCCCGTCGTTCTACCCTGGGGCGACCGCTCCAGAAGAAGGTGTAGACGGCACCCACCTCCTCCCGTTGTCCTTGTTCAAAGAACCGGGTTTTGCTGAGTGCAGCGATGTCCACCTTGTAGCACGTTATTTCCCGGGCGACTAGCGTCTTCCTCCATTCCTGTCAGTTGTTTCTGGGATTGTCTAAAAGGGAACGAGCATTTCTGGCTGCCAGAGTGAGCGGACTCCCCTAGCTACCTGTGTGATGAAGCACAGGGGTAGAATAAGCAGACGATGAATCAGGAAGAGGAACAGAAAGATTATTGGTGTTGATGTTTTGATTTTGATTGTTTCGTCTGTGAGTTT